AAATTGTTTAGGTCTTGTTCATAATTTATGAATCTAGATTAAAAAAAAAACTGAGAAAGAGAATAAAATAGAGACATAAAAAAGGCCAAACATAGATAAATGAAAAAAATAAATAGACCAAGGACATAAAAAATAAAAGCAAATATTTTAGAAATTCATAAATGTGATTTCTTTTTATGCTATTTCTTTTTTATTTAATTTTTAATCTCATTTTTTTCTTCTATTTTTTTGTCTACAGTATTTTTTTTCATTTAGACTATTTTTTTGTATTTTTTAATTTTAGTTTTTTCTATCATTATTGTGATTTTTAATACATTTGATCTTATTTTTTCTTCTATTTTTTGTTCTTATTTTTTTTATACATTTTTTTATTTAGACACATAACACATTTGATTTATTTTACTTTTTGCTATTTCTTATTTTAGTCTTTTATGAAGTGTTATAAGTTGGGAAAAGTTAAAAAAAAAAATCTCTTGTGGTATTGCTTTGGATCACTTACCCACATAAAACTTTTCTTGGGACCCTATTGTATGCTTTCTCAATATCTATGAACACCATATGTAAGTCCTTATTCTTTTCTTGATATCTTTCCATTAATTATCGCATCAAGAAAGTTGCTTCCATGATACATCTTCCTTGCATAAACCCAAATTGATTTACAGAAACCTTGGTCTCTTTTCTCAAGCAATGTTCAATAACTCTTTTCCACAACTTCATAGTATGGCTCATTAGCTTAATGCCTCTGCAGTAGAACAATTCTGAATATCTCCTTTGTTTTTGTAAATTGGCGCAAGCATACTTTTCCTCCATGTATCAAGCATCTTATTTGTCTAAAGAATCTTATTGAAAAGATTGATAAACCATTTCATTGCCACATCCCCCAGGCCTTTCCACACTTCAATAAGGACATCATCGGGTCCCAAGGCTTTATTAATTTTCATCCTCTTTAAAGCCTCCTTAACTTCATGTGTATTGATTTTGCATGTAAATCTTCTATTCAAATCATCATAAGCATCCTCCAAGTTCACCTAACTTTTATCTTCATCCCCATTAAATAGCTTGTTAAAGTTTTTGATTTTCATCGTTGATGCATCTAACTTGGGTGAGGTCTTTACTTTTCTTATACCTCATTTTTGCAAGTTTATATATTCCTTTTTCACCATCCTTTCTCGCCAATTTAAACTTTTGCAAGTTCTCATCATTCGGATTTTTATGCAAAGATCTAAAGCATTCCTTCTTTTGTTTAATTGCCTCATGCACATCTCCATTCCACCACTATGTTTCTTTTGTATGAAAACCATTTTCTTTGCTTTCTCCCAACACCCTCATTCCCATATTTTCAATACACATAGCCATCACATTCCATATTTCATTTGCTCCTCTATCAAACTCCCATGGTCTTTCATGCCAAATTTTTCCTTGAACTCTCTTTGTTTTTCCTTCTTCAACTTCTACTAACTTATGTTGCGCAGCGACACACTCTCCAAGGTGAACAATGTAGTCGACATAAGAGGCTCTATCTTCTCTTCTAGCCATAAAGAAATCAATCTGACTACGATTTTGGCAACTATGATATGTGATTAGATGTAACTCACTTTTTCGAGAAAAGATGTTCGCTAGCAGCAAATAATAGGCTAATGCAACGTTTAAGATATCTTTTTCAGCCTCATTTCTCGTTCCATAGCCAAAACATCCATGAAATCTATCAAAATCTGTGTTGCTTTTACCAACATGACCATTTAAATCTCCTTCTAAGAAAATCTTCTCCTTTCGTGGTATCCCCCTCAAAACCTCCTCCAAGTCTTCCCAAAATTGGCTCTTATCACTGGGTTGCAATCGAACATGGGGTGCATACACACTGAGGATGTTCAAGAAATCACCCACCATAAGCTTAACTAGAATAATCTTGTCGCCTTTCCTTTTGATGTGAACAACTTTATTTCTAAAACTTCTATCAATCATAATTTTAACACCATTTCGACTCTTGTTCATACCTGTATACCACAACTTGAAACCGGTACTATCCACTTTCTTGGCCTTTTCTCCAACCTATTTAGTTTCTTGCAAGCAAACAATATTCATTTTCCTTCTAGCAAAAACATCTACTAACTCCATCAGTTTACCCATTAAGGTTCCTATGTTCCAGCTTCCCAATCGCATCCTTAACCCCTGGGCGGTGCTTGCGAGCCACGCTCGTCCATCTGCGTGTTGGGACCCTGACTTACTTGTCACCAAACCCGGGTGAAGACCTGACCTCCTGCCTTGAGGCAAGGACCCCATCTCATTTACCACTACACCCTAGGACCGATGTAGCGCCTTGCCTTGTGGTAAGGGCCCTAGCCCATTGTTCGCTACACCCGAGGTCTGATGCAATGCGTCGCTATAAAGGGTACGCCTCAACAAAATATCATAAAAGTTCATCTCAAAAATATAACTATTTTTTTATTGTCGACTCGCAACACCTGACGTCAACCCTCCTCCTTTTTCTTGGCTTGGGACAGGCCATGCGTGCAAGCACATATAGGCAGAGTTAAAACCATTCCCCATTAAAACCGACTAGCGAATGTGGGGTGGAGGCAATCCTTGTACGCATCCTTACCCTTGTATAATTGAAAAGAGGTTATTTCCTAGAGTTGAACCCATGACATTTTAGCCATGAAGGAACAATTTTACCACTGCTCCGGTTCTTGAACTCATGACCTTTTAGTCATGAGTTTCCAATATTCTTTTTCTTTTTTGTCCTTGGTTTCTTTTAGCCTTATGCCACCCCATCTACTAAAGATTTTCATAAGAGAGAGAGAGAGAGAGAGAGAGAAAGAGAGAAAGGGGGGTAAAATAGTGATATAAAAAAGATCAAACATATCTAAATAAAACAAAAAAATTAAAAGCAAACATTTTAGAAATAGGTTTTATTTTTCTCATGTTACATGAGATAAATTGTCTCTTGCAACACACAAAAAAGTGGGTGGGACCCACTTTTTTATTTTCTCTCTTTTTTAGTGGGTCACATCCACTTTTTTATATGTTGCATGAGACAAATTGTCTCATGCAACATGAGAAAAATAAAACCCTTTAGAAATTCATAAATGTGATTTCTTTTTGTTCTATTTTTTCATTTTATTTTTTATCTCAATTTTTTCTTATATTTTTTTGCCTTCAATATTTTTTTCATTTAGACTTTTTTTTATTTTTTTTATTTTAGTCTTTTGTTAAGTGTTATAAGTTCGAAAAAGTTCAAAAACCCCTATGTTGTATTGCTTTGAATCACTTACACCCCCATGCTTTTTAATCACGTAACCCCCAGTTTTTTTTTTTCATCGACATCCCTCTTTACCACTGTTAGAAAATTAACTAAGTGTACATATTATACCCTTCTTAGAAGAAGAAGAAGATAAAGTGATAAAAAAACAAAAATAAGACCAAATGTTATAAAAACTTAGAACATTTAATAAAAGACTAAAAGAGAAAATAGTAAAAAAATCAAATGTGCCAAAATAAAAAAAACGAATAAATGTATAAAAAATAAAATAAAATATGGAGAAAAAAATAGAAGAAAAATAAGACCAAATATATTAAAAATTACAACAGTGACAGAAAAGACTAAAATTAAAAAAAAAAATAGTCCAAATGAAAAAATATATATGTAGGGGTATGATCCTTTGACACAAGTGTCAAATTTCAAATTTGACACCTCATCTGAGAGTCATTAGATCAAAAAAGATCAACGATGTCACATGCTTACAAATCAGAGTCGTTGATCTTTTTTTATCTAATGACTCTTATATGAGGTATCAAATTTCAAATTCCACACTGGTGTCAAAGGATCCTACCTCATATATATATATATATATATATATATATATATATATATGGGCTTATCATTTCTCAAGTTGCTGGAGATAATTTTATCTCCGGCTACTAAATCATATCTAAATAAAAAGAATAAACTAAGGATAAAAAAATAGAAAAAGAACAAAAGCAAATATTTTAGATATTCATAAATGTAATTTCTTTTTGTTCTAGTTTTTTTATTGATTTTTTTCTTCTATTTTTTGTCTTCGATATTTTTTTCATTTAGACTTTTTTTATATATATATTTTAGCCTTTCTTGTCACTGTTGTGATTTTTAATATATTTTATCTTTTTTTCTTATTTTTTTACATTTATTTTTATTTTTTCTTTAGACACATAATACATTTGAATTTTTGCTATTTTTTTATTTTAGTCTTTTATTAAGTGTTATAAGTTTTCATAATATTTACTCTTATTTTTCTCTTTTTATCGCTTTATTTTCTTCGTCTAATAAGGGTAGAATAGACATATACTTAGTTAATTCTCTAACAATGTTAAGGAGGAGTGTGGATGGACCGAGGGTAAGGGATTAAAAAAAAATCACACTAATGTAAGTGATTCAAAATAATATCATGGGAGTTTTTGAACTTTTCTCAAACGGTTTAAAGTTTTTAAGTACTTTAGATAATTTTATCTAATATTCATCATAATACACATATAAATGTGTTTGGGGTTCACATGGATCTGTGTGAAGAGAAGAGAGAAAAAAAATATTAATCCCACATATTTTTATATGTATATTTTAATGAATATTAGATAAATTTATCTAAAATAACGTTAGGAAGTTTAAACCGAATCCGACAAGGATTACACTTGGAACGTGCATTTGTGACCAATGAAGTTCACATCAGAAATAACTCCGAAGCAGGGATAGTTGGTAGTTAATTGGTAGCATCCAATTATATACACAAGGCCACCAATCAAAATTCAACCACATTGAATGAAGGCCACCAATCATTTACTAAGAGGACAAGAACAGTAACGACTAGTAAAGTGTTATTATATAGAAAACTAGTAGTAAAAAATATTTCTTGAAATTATCACACTTTAATCTTTGATGTGACAGTTAATTAACACTAAGAGATGTATAAATAATATTACTAATGAAACATCAAGATCTGATTCAGATTTTTCATCAATAATTGCTTTATTCTTTGCTCCAAAGTGACTGAACAGTCACTCCTTCGTTTTATGTAATATTTTTGTAAATCTCTTTCCGTTTTCATCTATCATGGTTCATTATATTATATATCCCACCATCCAAATACAACATGAGTAGAGTTACATTGAGCAGGCTAATATAGAGAGTAGAGTCTCTGAAACAACAGAAATACAACATGAGCATTCCAAGTGTGCTAGTTTTACCAGGTCCAGCTCAAGGACATGTCTATCCCATGATGAACTTCTCGCAAAAGTTGGTTGAGAATGGATGCAAAGTCTATTTTGTGAACACAGACTTCAACCATAAGCGAGTTGTGAGTTCCATGGTTGAGCAACAAGAAAGCCTTGATGAATCACTGGTAAAGTTGGTTTCAATCCCAGATGGTTTAAGACCTGAGGATGACAGAACAGATTTTGTCAAGTTATTTGATGCTATACTAAGCACCATGCCTTCTATGCTTCAGAGGAAAATAGAAGAAATTCATTTGTATGGTGAGGATAGAATCAGCTGTATAGTTGCAGATGTGAATATGGGATGGGCTTTGAATGTTGGGAACAAGTTGGGAATCAAAGGAGCTCTCTTCTGGCCTGCATCAGCTGCTATGTTTGCCTTTCAATGCAACATCCCTGCACTTATTGATAAAGGGATCATAGATTCTGATGGTAAGTAATAATATCATACTTCACTAGTCAGTTTTGTTTGGTTCTATTAATTACATCACTAACAAGTCACATATTCTGGTTGATTTATTAATTAATTATATATATATACATGTGGAGGGCATCAAGCCCAAAAAAAAAAAAAAGAAGAAAAGAAATAGCAACATAAACTAAACACCTACATAGGTGGAAACGGTGGAAGATATCCTTCCTAAGTGATTAATGTCTTCTAACAGATGGGGAGACATCCAAGTAGGAGCATCATGGTAGACTTCGAGACCTTTATTCCTAGATAAGGCAGTTTGGGCTAACTTATGGGCGCAGCAATTGGACTTTCGATAACTAATATGCTAATAGAACTAATTTTAATCACCATTACCTAACATCACTTCATGCATTTGCTTATAGCTTGATATATGTGTATACTGTTAGATTTTTTATAATTATTGTAGCCCCCAATGAATTGTATTTATTTTTTTGTTTTTATAAAAATGGGTTAAGTCGTGATTCTTATGAGGGTGCAGTATAGAACCTGCTTAATTCAGTGATCCTTTTGTTTGGATTTGAATATTTGTAAACTGATTAGTGTGGGTAATAGTGTAGGCCTAACTCATAGGCTCATGATGAGAAAGGGACTAGGGTTAATAAATTTGGTTAGATCCCATTTGCATCCTTATATGTTGAAAAAGAAAAACAACCGCTCTACAACTTGCCTTATCAACAGTTGTGATAAGGGAGTGGTGTAAACTGTAGAGAAAGATCCTGGCCCTTCAACCTTTGCAGGAATACCGGAGTAAGCACTACAACTGAGATATCAAGGATTATGTCGTTAACAAGTAAGTCTAAACGCTTTTGATGTTTTAATTTCATATAATCTTATTTTGTGATTTCTTACATTTGGTATCAAAGTCTAGATTACATGATTTATGACACAGTATTGGTTGATTAAACATGAGTATATCTTTGGGATTGAACCAGTTTCCCTCGTGTTCTTGAATGTATAATTTAAATAAGGAAAAATTAAACCCAAAATTACAGGATATTATTTTGAATTTATTTTATCATGAATTTTGACGAGAGAAATTCAAAATTAAAGTCACCGTTAAGATTTCAAATCTAATTCCTAATTCCACTAATTATTGTGCGTGGTAATTCAATGTTTTCATGCTCATGTTATAATTGAAATATTAAATTATAATAATGAATGATATCTACGTGTCTAGGGTCTTTCCAAAGTTAATAGAATTGAAACGTGTCAAGTAGAGGTGTCAAAGTGGGCTGCCCGTCCCGCCCCAGCCCGTCAAAAAGCGGATTGGCCCGACCCACCCCGCCTTTGAAGATGGGCTAGATATCTCAGCCCGCCCCGCCCCATTTGGGCGGGCCGGGCGGGCTGTCCGCCAAGCCCGTGACATTTTACACTAAAAGTTAAAAAAAAAAAAAAAAAATAGCCCGGGCACTCTTGGCGAACAGCGGATTTGAGAAACTCAGCCCGCCCCGCCCATTTGGTGGGCGGGGCAGGCCAGCCCGGCGGGCTCGGCTCATTTTGCCAGCTCTAATGACAAGCATGTGTGATGTATTGACAGCAAATTAGTAAAATTCATAATTCCTTATTGTTTTTCCTTATTTTCAATTTGACTGCCTTAGATGGTTTGAATGGTTCTCTTAGTAATTACGACAGGGAATTTCATGATTATGGAGGAAGAGAATTTGTTTGTATTCTAAGATTTCAATGCATATGGAAATCTTGTTATCATTGATTTTGAATAAATAAATAGTTTTTATTTATTTATTTACTTATTCACTTATCTATTATAACATTTGTTAGTTTATTAATCTTCGTGGAAATATCATGACCTTATTTCTAAATCATTTGGAATGATTGTTCGTTATATAAGAGAGTTCACAACATCAAAGACACACGTACTTATATATATGTATTTAGTCAAATTTATTATTATTATTTGATTTGAAACCCTTGTTGGATTTGACTGAACGTTTTGAAGATATATCTTTATGTTTGTGATTCTAGGTCAATGAAAATATTTGGATAAAAATAAATACATTATCCTTCGTGTTTTTATTTTTAGTTTGAAATTATTTGGAATGAATAGTTTAAAATAAAAGTTATTTGATAGTCATGGGGTTACATCACACTTAACATGAATAAAAATGCATGAATCCATGATAGCTTTGACGAATACTACTTCATTTAAAGTTAGACATTATTTATGGATGCAACTTATTTCTTTGGTGGTTGATCATTTGATTGGTGGGGAAGAAGACCTATTTGGATGTTTTAAGTGACGCTCATCTGTGGGCTATGGTGCATGAGGCACTTGTCAGCCCAATAGTGACCTAATTTTACCAAATATTAGTTGTGTGAAGTTATAATTAATTATAATTTTATGATATATTTAAAATAAAAAATTTATTGCAATAAATATCCTTTTTGGGAAAGTGATAAACCGTATATGATTGCTATAATATATTTTTTGTTTATTATGGTGCATGTTTTCGCTTGAATTGTTTGAGTACAAAATTTTTTTGCAAATGTTATTATCTTTGATTCATTATCAGTAGAGATGTTGTACTTTCTTGTGGACTGAATTATGGTTTTGGGCAAGAGAAAATTAATTTCTGTAAAAGTTTTCATGAATTACTATGGGTAATTAACACCAAAGTGAGATTACTTATATTGGTTTGGGAAAATTTCTTTGCAAAATTGAGGAATGCTTATGGTTATTTCATGCAATTTCCTACCCAAATGGGGTGATTGTGTGTTATAACTACGAACTTGTGAACTTGTTTAGGATGAAGTTATTGGAGAATACATCTCTGAAGCCAGTGTATGCTCACTGAGCAGATTTTCTTTGAGGTTGTAGATGATGAAGTTATTGGATGCTTATTGATCTAGGAATCTATCTGCCCAAAGGGGATGGATTTTCAAAAACTCAATGTTGTACTTAATGATTAACTTATCCAAGGTTCTAGCCTTGGTTTATACCTTGGTTTGCGCATTCTGCCCAAAGGGGTATGTACTGTTAAGTTGGCCTTGTTATGACAACCTGTTATGCTCATTAATTAACTCATCCGGTGTTCTGACCTTGGTTAGTACATTGTTCCCAAAGGAAAATGTACTATTATGTTGGCCTCATTATCTTGTTTTAATTGAAGGTATATATCCTCTAATTTATTCTAATGCATTCGTATTTTTCCTTAAATTATATTTTTTTATTAATTTTTCTTTCAATCAATTTGTAAGTGTCTTTAAATAATTTCTTGTTCAATGTTCTTGAAATACATATTTTAACTTTTGACAAACATAAATGTTTATGTTCCTTTTTTCATATTTTAATTAATGAAAAATTATTATAGATTATGGTGGTTATAATCCTAGTAATTACTCGCTAATTTAGCGTAGATTTTACGTGCTTTGTCAATGAAGAATTTGATTAGTGAACTAAGGTATATAATTGCTGATATTAGGGATTCGAATTTGTGACAAAAATTGTAGTTTGGTAAATGCAATATGAATTTTGAAAAAATAGGTTATAATGATTTTCATATTATTTGGGCATGATTTTTTGGAGCATTATTTGTGAATTGTTAGAGTTCTTTATTGATTAAAAAAATTTGAAACTTACAAGAAGATAAAATTTTATATAATATGAAATAATTGTGTATTGTATACTCTGGCCAAATGAGAGTTTATAATATGTTAAGTATTTCAAAAGTTACTTTATTGCCTATAATTAATATCATTTCATTTATGTAATAAATATGATTTTAATATGAATGATAACAATGCCATAATATAATTAGTTATTGGATTAAATTAAGATGAATGGAGATGACATCTAGATTTTTCTTTATGAATGATCTTGATAGGGCATTGTGTTAAAGTTAGCACATGCTCGGTTCTAGTCCGTGGATTTATACCGTAAAGGTATACACTAAGAGATATCTTAAAGAGATATCTTATTGGCTTAAAGCCAATGTACCAATTACCTAGGCTTATAGCCAAGACGTGGACAATGTTAGCAGCAATAGTAAATAGGTCAAAAGTGTGTACCTGATCTTATTTATAGTGTTTACCTTTGTGGATTTGGGCTTTAGATATGATATATAATAGCTGCCTTATTTGTTGGGGATAAGGATCTTATTCTTTGATCCTCCTTGGATTATGTTATTGTGATAAGATTGTGATAGATCCTGATCTCTTATTGGATATGTGGTTGAGATATGGATCAAATCTATAGGTCCGCAGTTCGGAAGCTTGGACTGTCGGGGTGTAGAAGCTTAATTAACATGTCGATCATGCCGAGATATCATCTTGAGTCCGCAGTGGGTTTTGGGGCAGTTTGCTCTTCCCTAGACTTATCCTTGTCTCTGACTTACAGGGGCCATGTTTGTGCTTCAGCTGTTTAAAGTCTAAACTTGGCCGAGGTAGAGGTTTTAAGGTGTGTGTCGAGGTCTAATGACGCACTCTGCCATGGGTCGTATAAGTTCAACATTTATTCAAGGCCGATCTTGTTGGTGATGTTGAGTGACTTTGTTGTCAAGGACGTTCCTTTGCCAGTTACATCGACATGACTCTTCACCTTTTCCTACTTGATGGTTACGCTTTTCCACGTGTCATTAATCAATTGGTAGTTTCAACGTTGTAGAGCATGAGTCGTCCTGGATCTTTGCAGGTCATAATGACATGCATTTAATGTTTTCCCTGCAAAATGACTCTTTTACCTCTTGGTTTTTCAGTTTTCGCACCCATCAGTTTCTCTTCACATATTTTTCCCTTTTAAGTTTTCCCTCAGTAGCTTTCATTCTCATTTCGAATCTCTGGCTTGCATTTCTTGCTTTCCAGGTTTTTTGGAGCATTTCCTGCATTCTCTCTGCAGTTTCTGCGTGTTCACCCTACTCTTTAATCATAAATAGGTACCTCTTAAACATTTTCTTC